AGGAAAAGGCTCATAAGACAGCCACCATCGGCTTACCGCATATCGTCGAAATCGCGAATCGCAAGCCCGCGAATGGCAAGGGTCTAATGTACAATACAGTAAGTCCTCGCTTAATGTTGTCCATCTTAATGTTATTTCAGCACTACGTCGCTCAACTTTAGAGACCAAAAATTCGTTTAACATCACAGTGTTTCGGTACAACGTCATTTTGCGTCGTCAAGGACTACTTTTTACGGTGCATCACCCTCTCTCGTCTGGCCGCTCTACGCTCTCTCGGCTCGGCGCGCTGCCCTCACTCGCGTAATGTCACAGCGTCCCGAAGCGACGCCAAGCCAGTCTCTGTTACAACTTCACATCATTCATGCGTGCTTAAGTGCTTTTGCTCTAAAACTGTACTCTAACCAACTGAAATGGCTTCCAAGCACCCATCAAGTGCTACTGATGCTAGTGTAGTGAAGCAACGAAAGACCATCATCCTTGCTATGAAAATGGATGTGTTAACCCGATTTGAAAAAGGGGAATGTGCTGTGGACATAGCCGCTGTGCTTGGTCTAACCCCCACAACGGTGTGTACTATCCAGACCAACGCTGACAAGATTAAGGTTAGTGCTGGAAGTGGTTCTTCTCTGAGTGCTACTAAGACGACTCTTACTAGAAGCACTTTGATAGAAAAGGTGGAAAAGATGCTGGCTGTGTGGATGGAGGACCAGAATCAACACAATGCCCCTGTGAGCCTTATGGTTATCCAGCATAAGGCCAGATCCTTGTTTGACAACATGAAGGAAACAGAGGGTGAAGGATCGAAGGAAGAGACCTTTATGGCCAGCCGAGGCTGTTTTCAACGATAAGCGTCGGTATAACTTCCATAACATTATGACTGGTGAAGCCGCTAGTTCAGATACAGTTAGGTTCTCAAATGGCCGCGAATCTCCAAATCCTTGAATAACATTTGCGGACCGGGTGGGGTGGGGGGGTTACATTATTACTTGTGTACAAAGAAATGTATATTCCTTTATGTGTTTGTCCTTAGGACAATTATTTCTTTTACCTGTATATATATATATATATATATATATATATATATATAAAGAAATGTATATTCCTTTATGTGTTTGTCCTTAGGACAATTATTTCTTTTACCTGTATATATATATATATATATATATATATATATATATATATATATATATATATATATATATATATATATATATATATATATATATGTATATATATATATATATATTAGGTGTCAATTGAATATCCGTTAAAGAACATATATGGGATTAATTCCAATAGAGACTGGCCCGACCCCCAAACTCCACTTTTTGAACACAACAACTATGTTGTAGTAAACATATCTAACTTATGTATGCACATTCAATTAATAATTACAAAATTAATATTAGGTTTTTTTACTTACATTAGTAGAAAGATGGCTGGGCACCGCGGGGATGGGGGGTTGGTTCCGAACAGAGGGCAGATTATTGGCCCTCCTGTATCACTTGTATCAATTGTATCACTATCCACCACAGAGGCTTGCAGGGCCTCTTTGTCAAACCCCTCAAAGTCCATATAAGTCCATATCCTCACTATAATTATCACTATCACTGACTTGGGCCGGCTGTGGTGGGTGGCGGGTGAAAAACTCGGTAATGTTTTGATGACTGGGCGACCTTGTGCGCATCCTGCCCGCGCCGCTTCCCGCGTATATGAGTAGATGAACCGCGTTAAGTGAAAGTTCGGTTCTGGCGAGGCACCGCGTATGTGAGAAATCGCGTTAAGTGAAACCGCGTAAAGCAGGGTACAACTGTATATATATATACAGTGGGGTATGCTATAACGAACGGATCCTACTACGAATATTCCTATAACGAACGGTTTTACCTATAAAATTGAGAATGCTATAACGAACGAAACTCCTACAACGAACATTATTTTAAAAAAAAATAAAAATTTTTGTTTTTTTTTACTAATTTATTGTTTTTTTTATTAAAAGTATTAATGATATTCTTTATTTCAGGGGTTTAGATGCATATTTATACACTTTTTTACAATTTTTACAATTTTATATTATATTTTTCAGTGTTAAGTGGTTGTATTTGGGGGCCTGGAACGGATTAATCCTATAACGAACGAATGCTATAATGAACAAGGTTCTAGAACCAATTAGATTCATTATAGCATACCCCACTGTGTATATATATATATATATATATATATATATATATATATATATATATATATATATATATATATATATATATATATATATATATATATATATATATATATATATATATATATATATATATATATATATATATATATATATATATATATATATATATGTGTGTGTGTGTGTGTGTGTGTGTGTGTGTGTCTGTGTGTGTACACACACACACACACAACACATACAAATAAATGATAATTGGAAAATTCTCTCACAAATAATCAAACAAATTTATTAAAAATATGACAGTCTATCCTCAAGTCCGTGCTCTATTAATAAAGTACTGCAATAGAGCACGGACTTGAGAGTAGACTCACATTTTTAATAAATTTGTTTCTGATTATTTGTGAGAGGATTTTCCCATTATTATTTATTTGTATGTGTTTTGTATGTGTTTTGTGTGTGTGTGTGTGTATGTGTTTTTGTGTGTGTCTACACACACACACACAATTTATAATACAGGTAAAAGAAATTACTGTCTCTAGAACGAATGGCTCCCTGTCCTAGCCGCGAAAATGCCAGCAACTTTAAAACTACCCACAGACAGTCTTGGGTACATCCAGGGTGTCATCTATGAATAACCAAGAACCAGGAAGTAAAAATCCGTGAACTTGGGGGGCCCCCTGTATTGGCAAAGTATCGGAATCAACCAAAATATTGGGATTGACATCGGCATCGGTCAAAAAACCATATTGGTATTGGTATCGGTCAAAATATTGGTATCGGTACAACTCTAGTGGATACATGACAGCTTGGACAATACGACCCATACCCTATGCTCTCCCACTAATAGATCATAACATGGATTTTTAATGAGCTTTTAAAGACTCGGATGCATAACATTATTGTTTTGATTTTTTTATGGGAATTAGCCCACCCGGGCACAGGTCAAACGACACACAACGGGGCCTGGGGGGCGAAAAAATTAACAAAGAAATTGAAAATAGAGAAGAAAAAGGTTATACTGTGTTAATCTACACCACGAAGATGCCGGAAAACCAGCTTTTTAAAGTGGAAGGGTTTATGGTATTTTAATTTTCTCATCACAAGAACATAAGAACATAAGAATGGAGGAAACTGCAGCGGGCCTATTGGCCCATACTGGGCAGTCCCGTTTACACCCAACCCCTATTGCTCATATAAGCATCCAACCTATGTTTGAAGCTATTCAGCGTATTCGAGTTAATGATGATATTTGGTAACTTGTTCCATTCATCCACTACTCTGTTTCCAAACCAGTGTTTACCGATTTCACGCCTAAATCTAAATTTATCTAATTTAAAACCATTGTTACGAGTTCGCTCCTGGTTGGATAGTTTGAGTACCTTTGTAATGTCCCCTTTGTTTAGCCCTGCCTTCCACTTATACACCTCTATCAGGTCGCCCCTCGCTCTACGTCTCTCGAGGGAGTGCAAATTAAGATGCTTTAGCCTGTCTCTATATTCAAGGTTCCTAATGCCCGGGATTAGTCTTGTCATTCTCCTCTGAATTCTTTCCAAGGATTCTATATCCATTCTGTAATACGGTGACCAGAACTGAACTGCGTAGTCCAGGTGTGGTCTCACAAGAGCAAGATACAGTTTTAGGATGACCTCGCTAGTCTTGTAACTAACACTCCTTTGTATGAACCCAAGTACTTTATTAGCCTTGTTACGAGCAAAAACACATTGTTTACTTGGTTTAAGGTTCCTACTTATCATTACTCCTAAATCTCTCTCGCAGTCGGATTTCTCTATGGCATCGTTGTTCATCTGGTATCTGGTTTCCCTGTTTACATCTCCTATACTGAGTACTTTACATTTGTCGACGTTGAATTTCATCTGCCATTTTTCAGACCATTCGAAAAATTTGTTTAGATCTTCCTGTAGTTTTGCCGAGTCCTCGTCAGATTTAATAACACGTCCTATTTTAGTGTCATCAGCAAATTTACTTATGTTGCTGTCTATGCCGATATCTATGTCGTTTATGTATATAATAAATAATAATGGTCCAAGTACTGAGCCTTGGGGAACTCCACTTGTGACGTTGCTCCAATGGGACTTAGTGCCGTTAATGCTCACTCGCTGTTTCCTGTCCTGTAACCACGCCCTAATCCATTTAAGGATGTACCTTTGATGCCATGTGCTTCTACCTTTCTAATTAGTCTTTCGTGGGGGACTCTGTCGAAGGCTTTGCTAAAGTCGAGATATACCACATCATAATTGTGCCCCTCGTCCACCGATTCGAAAACTGATGAAAAGAATGTTAATAGATTAGTTAGGCAAGAGCGTCCGCTTGTGAAGCCATGCTGGGAATCATTGATCAATCTGTGCTGCTGGGAATCATTGATCAATCTGTGCTTCTCCATGTGATTACAAGACTGGTAATAGCTAGCCATTTCTTCTTAATACCACCAGATGCAGCAATATTTATTTTACTCTTTCTCTTTTTTAGTCATAATACCGTTGGGTATAACAAAACATTCAGTCACAATACAAATTTCCCTGTACTTTACTGTACACACTTGTCATCAAGTGATGAATGCAGTGATCCATATTTTTTATTCTTTATTTTTTTGGGACTTACACCACACAATAACGAGACTCTAACCAAACAATAATGAAAAATGGGAGTAATTTAGGGTGGCGCTCTATATTGAAAGTGCGGTATAGAACTGCACTATATTGAGTCTGCTGTAACTTATAAAAAATTATGCACATTAAATGCTAAAAAATGCAGATTTAATATATAGTCCAATTTAAAAGGAAATAGATACATACATACATACCTAACACAGCAAGAGGGAGTAAAACAAACAGACCCTCTGTCTCTTTTTCAGATACAGTCCACACCACAGCTCTTCCATCTGCACTGGTGGTAATCAAAGTGCGACCCATAGATGGCACTGGCTGAACCCATCGCACACAAGTAATTTTGTTGGTGTGTATCTTTGTACTTGCCCCAGTCACTGCTCCCTTCTGTAAATTGGTGAGAGTGGTCAGACCTTAGTAGCAATTTGAGACAATTTCTCCCTAGAAAGTAAAAGCTTTCTTACCTCAAGAAAATGCAAAAAGCGGTTGAGTGAACTACATTTTGCATGATACAGAAGGAAAAGTAAGTGGGACCCATACACATAATTCAATAAAGCAGTGCTATTCAACCTTTTTTTGATGTCGTCCACCCCTAGTGATGAAACTTAAAAAGCTATCCACCCCAAGTGGTAACCAATTTTTGCTGAGAGAGAGAAAAAAAAACCCAGCAGTTTCACTTGTACTGTATTTATTTTCCGTTTTGAATTGTAATATAATTTAATACAGCGAACAGTCGAAGATCCGGACTAAAAGGGGGGGACCACCTTTCCGGAAAAGTCGATCGTCCGTATTTTCTGGCAAATATTAAATGATATAAGAAACACCAAAAATACAGTACTTATGTAGTGATAAACAAATTACCATATATAAACCAAGCATTTACCTATGATAACATAATAAGAAACCTTGTATCATTACTAGAGTGAATGAAATAATATTCCCACAAACAACAATTGTCAACTCTGTTTATGTTTCCCACCTCCTCAGGCACCTGTGTCCAAGCAACTGATGGGTCAAGCAGTGCCCAAGGGCCTAAACTGTTCTTTGCTCTGGTTTGGGAATGTTTTTAAGGAAGCTTCTAGGAGGCTTCTTAGCCCAGAATCCCCAAATTTTTTGTTAAGATCTTCCAAAATCCGGATTTCCCGGGTCCGGATCTTCGAGGGTTTACTGTATAGAATTTTCCATTCAGAACAAAATTACTTTTTATTAAATCAATTAAAGGAAAATAATAAATTAAAGAACCATAGGCATAATTATGAATGTTTTGGCAATTCAGTGGCTTGGCAGCTGTTGTAGTTTGTCCGCTATCAGCTGAAATTGTAGCATCAGGCGACTTTGGAGTGCGTCCCAGGTGCATGAGGAGATCCACATTCAAAATTGTGTTCCTTTTCTTTGAATAAAACTAAAACTGAGAAGCCTTGCTCACACATATATGATGTTGGCATCTGCACAAACATGGTTGTCACCTGTTCAGCCAACTTCTATTCTGGAATATCCAGCAGTGTAACCCAGAAATCCATGATGTGTGCTAATGTCTTGAAGGCTGCTTTTTTTGCGTAATCTGTCCTTAGCTCAAATAGAGCTTCAGAATGGTCAACCCCATCATCAGCAAATGGATTAAGAACCCAGATGTTGGAGTTCAAGTGTTTGCTCTCACTCTCTGGGAAATACAGGTTGAGACTTTTCCTGAATCAAGGTAAGGTGATTAACAACCAGGCAGGACATTAGCATCTCCAATGTCCCCTCTTCTGCTGCCTGCACCCCGTGTTCCCAGCCTCAATCTCTCATAACATGGATGACCTCGGACCAAGAAAATCAGGAGAAAAAAAATTTAGCATTTTATGTTTGGTTTGCTAGGTTAGTTTTCTTCACTTTATGAACAATAAATTAGCTACAGGACATAACTGTATCTAAAATTAAATCTTTAAAACAAACCAATGCTAAATTGTAGAAAGCATAAGAGAAATTATGCACAACACATTCCTCCTACATCTTTTGTGAATTTTTAAAGGCAACAAAACTTGGTTAATATTGACAAGATACCTGCTGCCACGGGAGTTGTTTTGATGTTTCTTTTCTTACAATAATTTCATCAGTGAGTTTGGAAATGATGTTCATTTCTTGTTGAAAATGATTCGTTTGGTAGATAAATAGGCCCCTAGGCTTGCATTAGTTGCACTACTTCATCTTGCGCAGCGATAAATCGGTAAGGCGCCCGCTCAGTGTCTGTTTATGAGCTGCTCAGTCCAGACGGCTTCTCTCACGTTAAAAAAAAAACGTAAAATTTCACCATATAATAATGTTCTTTCTGTTATAATATACTGGGGGGTCTAGGGGGCAGAGCCACATGGCTAGGAAGTTAGGTAAAGTTAGGTTGGTTTCTTTGGTTAGGCTGGTGAGGTCTTCTAACAATGCTTTGGCCACTTGTTTTTCTTTTCAACTAAGGTAAGGTTAGGTTAGTTTAAGGTTAGTTTAGGGTTAGGTTATGTTAAGGTTAGGTTGGGTTAAGTTAGGTTAGGTTAACAAACATTTAAATAAACAATTTATAACACATTTGCCATAACTACAATAGTGTCCACTATAAAATACAGTGAAATTGCAGCGTTTTTAAATTCGTTTTCTATGAAAAATCAGCAGCTGTGAAGTAGTAAATAATTACCATTCATTGTTTCCAACAAAATAAAATAATTCAGTTTATGTGTACGTTAATACAGGCCTACCTTTGGATCACACAGCAGTACCCCAGTACTTGCAGCATAACACACTATCCCATCTGGACCCCAATCAACACCAAGGGGTGTTTGGTTCGCTCCACAAGACATATAAAGCGTGTAGGCTTCCATAGTTCTCCACCCTGGACAATTAATTTGGGAATACTCAGAGTATCTGTAACATGCCACAAGTTTCTTCTTCCGCAGTGTCTAAATTAGCCGTCAACTACTGGGGTCGGCAGCGGCTGAAGGTAAACAAACACGGGACAGCAAACAACCCCCGCCGACCGCCTCGGCAACAACTCCAACTGAATAAATGAAACTCCACAGACGTCAAAGTAACATGTAGAACTTCTAACACATTAATAAAGAAAATTTTACGCAGAAAATGAAACAATGGAGCTTAGAAAAGTGGAGGAATTACACGGAATCAAAAACTAGCATTACATTATACAAACAATGGAAGGAACACTTGAGAATTAAGGAAACATATATACAACACTACGGTTTGATTTTTTTTTACGGGGAATAGCCCACCCGGAGACATGTAATCGACCTACAACGGGGCCTAGGAGACGAAAAAATAAGAGTAAAAAGAAATTAAAAATAGAAAATAAAGAGATTATATTAATCTACACCACGAAGATGCCGGAAAACCAGCTTTTTGAAGAAAGACAGATTGTATGAGTATTGTTAACGCTCATAGGTGCATCATTGGCTTGTTGCTGGAGAAATAAACCCTCAACTTTTACTTTTTACTTTACTTTTATCCTCTTCGCCACTGATCGGTCTCGTCTCTGTCACGCACTCTTGACAAATACTGGGCATGCACCGGCTCCTGAATGTACCTGAACCCGCTCCAGTGCATTGACGCGTACCATATAATTCTGTCAAAACCTGTCAAAGAACAATTCTCATATAACAAATGCTGTTATCTCAGGACACATAGTATGAATAATACAATCAATATAACATCTTAAATATAACTCGCATGTTATAACTGTTGATACAGGAGACAATTGGTATAATATGATCAAATTACAGTACATAAATATACTTATTAAAGTTATTTAGAGTTTCTTAGCAGATTCTAATTCTTCACGATCACTCACGTTTTAGGGTCTAGTGGTCTGAACCAACATGTTGTCTGTCCTGTAGAAATCGGTAGACTACCCTCGAGGGCAATCGCAGCCCGGAGGCGAGGGCCATCTGTTTCGTTTTGAAACACCTAAGCAAATTCGTCAGCAAATTCGTTGTCAACACTATATCTCTTATCTCACCCTCTCTCTCTCTCTCTCTCGCCTAGTTTATCTTATTGTGGTTATCCCTCTCTCTCTCTCTCTTCTAGTTTATCTTACTGTGGCGGTAACAAGTATGGAAACACAAAAGAAGGCAGAGCATTCCAAAGTTTGGCTGTGTGAGGAAAGAAGGATATACTCTAAATGGGTTATTCTAATGTGACTGACATACATAGAGAAACGGTGGGCACAGCGAGCAAGACGAGCGTTACGAACCCACGGCCTTGCCGACGGTACACAGGATGCCAAATCCACTGAACATGCGCGTTAAATACTGTACCTGTAAAAGAGAGAAAGTGAAGCAACATTGCGGGGAAGAGAAATGGAAGAGAAATTATCAACTAAAGGAGGAGAGTCAATAAGACGAAATGCCTTTGATTCCACCTTACCTAACAGTTGGACAGAAGAGCCACCCCAGATATGAGAGCAGTACTCCAAGTTAGGACGAATGAATCCCGTGTAAACTTGATGCAACTGCTCTAAGGAGTGAAGTAGCTACGGCATCTGCACAGCATTTCCAGCTTTCGGGAGGCAGCTTTAGCAATGCTGTGGATGTGTGGCTTCCATGACATATTAGAGTAAATGGTGAGACCGTGAGATCAAGCATATCTATTTTAGAACTTGGCAGAATGATTGCGTCCTGAAATGTGATTGGTGGGAGATCATCTAATCTGGAAAGTGTAATTGGTAAATACTGAGTTTTATGACTATTAAATTTAACCAGGTTTCTACCTGCCCATTCGGAGATGCTGCACAGATCCGCATTGGCAGATGAAAATGATATCAGCTCCAGAAATATATCTAGTTTGCCAATAAGCAAGGATTTTAATACTAGAGATGGGCGGCACACTTACAGTATATGGGTGAACGAGTTCACCGCCCTAAGTGGCGAAATCGCTGATTTTATTTTGTATTTATTTTTTTTTACATTTCTTTGTAGCCCAAGACCGTGGTGAGAGCTGAGAGGACTGCTTGCCAGCGTGTATTGTTTTCTTAGATACGGTTTAATTTTTGTAAGTAACACATTTCTCTGTAATTGCTCCAGTTTGGTTAGATTATTCCAGATTAATGCCAGATACGCCAAAATTATGTTAGAATTATGCTAAATTGTGAAATATGCTAAAATTATGTGTCTCAAAATTTCTGCTCAGTTTATGGTAATAGCATAAAATTATGCTAGATCTGAGACATCCGCCTACTGCAGGTATGGACAGTCGACAGTCGACTAAGTATTAAGTAGTGTAAAGCACTGCCTTCCGAGATGTTTATAAACTTCATCGGGGGTTTTATTACCAGTAATATTGGCTGGGTTGTCTTTTGTTTTTAATTTCATAGGCTTCACTTCTTGATTTCTTTGTTTACGGATGCGCAAATCCCTTTTGTTCTTTTTTTATTTTCGCACGTGGTTTGTTAATCTTTTATGTATAAAGGTTGAGTTCATATAGTTCAATTCGAATTCCATATTATGGTTTTGGATACATTTCGAATTTCTTTCGAGTAGCATTGCATTACACGTGAACTGTACTGTATGTTCCTGTACTTATTGTTCTTCCTCAAGGAGGCCTGAGCCCTGAAGAAGATAGTAATCTTGTTTTTCAATGGTGTTGTTATGGCGTCGTGTTCGGTATCGCACTGCAGCAAGTTATCTGTGCTTGTGGAGGATGAAGATCGTCTGCAAGAGTTCATCTGTCAACATAAACTAGTTGGCAGGACATACAAGTGTTCAAAATGCGGCTGAGAACTGACAGTTAACAAGATATGTGTTTCAGCGCAACAACCGATCATACTGTGACGTCCACAATAGACATAAAATTACACAATGCTGTTTCAAGAAAAGTGCTACCATTGGTACCTGATAATAACCAAGTAAGTTCTTTCTGCTTAATATGCCCCCCGATAAGGTTGGTTAGGTCAAATTCTCTGCATTGTGGTATCGTTTTTATAAATATCAAGCAAACAACAAGTGTAAAAATGAAGGTAAAGATTCGTTTTAGATCGACTACGAAAACTACTAACAAATTCCTTTTTTAGCTGTTATATTATGTTGGATTGTTAGTAACGTTATTCCGTGGCAGGAGCTTTTATCCCAATAGGTATTTCATATTTTTTACCATATCACTACTTGTACAGTACTTACTTTTACTTTTATCCTCTTCACCACTGTTCGGCTCGTTAGCCGCCCGGGCGATCGGTCACGTCTCTGTCACGCACTGTTGGCAAATACTGGGCATGCACCGGCTCCTGAATGTACCTGAACCCGCTCCAGTGTTGGTCAAGTCTTGTCTTGAAAGAGCTCACACTCGGTGCCGTCACAACACTCTCTGGTAGATTGTTCCAAGAGTTTACAACCCTCACTCCGAAAAAGTTTGCCCTCACAGTTTTCTGGACTTGCGGCTTCTTCAGTCTTGAGCTGTGACCCCTTGTGAGGCAAGCGTCCGTCAGCTCCAACTAAGGACATGCTTATACACCTCAACTAGGTCACCCCTTGCCCGTCTGTAATATAAGCTAGGCAAGTTCAGGCGCTCCAATCTCTCAGGGTAGCTGAGGTGCCGATGTGCAGGCACCAGTCTGGTGGCCCTCCTTTGAACATTTTCAATCAACTGACAGTTCCTAGCATAGGGACAGTACTGCAGATGGGGAAGCACTTCACTCTTGAAGATCGTTAAGAGGGACGGACCGTCTAGATATCTGAACGACCTTCTTATAAGACCCAATAATTTATTTGCCTGGTTTACCTTCTTCTCGCAATGGCCCGAGAACTTCAGCTCATTGTCAACATATACACCTAGGTCCTTCTCACGTTCAGTCTCAACTAGTGCAGTTTCCTAATTCCGTTGGGACATATGATACGCCTCCTTACCGTTGGTACGCCCCAGGTGCATCCTCTTACACTTCGTGACATTGAATCTCAGCAGCCATTCCTTCGACCATTCCTGGAGCCCACAGAGGTCCTTCTGCAGCTCTTCACAGTCAGCTTGGTTCTTAATTTCCCGAAATAACTTAGCATCATCGGCAAACATTTGTATGGAGGAGTGTACAACGTCAGGCATGTCATTTATGAAACAAACAAACAACAGCGGGCCCAACACACTGCCCTGTGGTACCCCACTTGTGACAGGTACGGATGACGATTTCGTGTCATTAATCACCACACACTGCTTGCGGTCATGTAGAAAGTCTTCTATCCATACAAGGACATTTCCCCGAATTCCGTACCCTTCCAGTTTGATTTTCAGCCTTTCATGGGGTACACTGTCGAAAGCCTTGGCAAAATCTAGGTAAATATTGTCGATATTACCACCCCTTTTCAGAATATGGGTCCAAATATCCAATACCTTGAGCAATTGTGTTAAGCAGGAGCGCCCCGGCATAAAACCGTGTTGGCAATCCTTTACAAGATTGTTTCGTATTAGATGTTCCATTGCGGCATCTCTGATAATACTCTCAAGTACCTTACATATTATGCTGGTCAGGCTCACTGGTCTATAGTTGTTCGTGGGGTGCCGATCGCCCTTCTTGAAGATAGGACTCACATAAGCCACTTTCCATTCACTGGGGACCTTTTGTTCATCCAGGTATTTACAAAACAGAATCTTCAGGGGCTCTGCAAGCTCGTTGCACAACTCTCTTAGCACTCTAGGATGCACCATGTCAGGTCCGGGACTCTTATGGACCTTTAGCCTGGACACTTTATTTCTAATACCCTCTTCAGTGAACACAATGTGGGTCAGTGCTGTGTCGAACCGTTGCATCCTTTCTTGTGAACACCGAGGAAAAGAAGCTGTTCAATGCCTCGGCTTTATCCTGGTCAGAATCTGCGTAACTACCATCTTCAAGCCTTAGGTCTGATACTCCTACTCGCGTTTTCAATTTCGACTTTGCATAGCGGTAAAACGCCTTTGGGTTTGACTTGACTTCGCTTGCAACCAGCCTCTGGAACTCCTTTTCAGCCCTTCTACGCTCTGTCTTTGCTTGGTTTCTGGCTCTGGCATAC